AGAATATGAACGGATCCTATTGAAAATAAAAACAAAACTTGTCTAAATTATTCAATGAAAGTTGCCTCAAAAGATTTAATTACAGAAACAATATGTGTGTGTGTGTGATGTGTGTGTGTGTGTGTGTTTTGTGTGTGTGTGTGTGTGTGTGTTTTGTGTCCATCCCATGCGCCAATGGCTTAGTGGTAGAACTCGACTCATGCCAATTCAATGGTTTCCATCCTAGCTAGAGGCAACCGGACGTCTATGGAAATTGATGAGCTGTGATACAAAAACAGTCTGTATATGGATGACAATATATAAATCCTGAAAAATTTATTTCGGTTGAATTCTCTGGGGAGGAAGTGTGGGTTTTAAAGAAGTGACTATTATGGCTAATAATGCAAGACTCTTCGGTAAATCGAATCGACTTCTTCTCAGTCACAGTGTGAAAAAAAAATAAATACACTTAAATTCATCCCTTCATCCCCCATGCACAAGGCAACAACAAATTCAGGGGTAGAATCCCCACTGAGGCAACTGAACGTCTATCCACACTGATGAGCTGTGATACAGCGAAACAGTCTGTTATGGATGATAAATATATATATATATATATATATATATATATATATATATATATATAGAGAGAGAGAGAGAGAGAGAGAGATTGAATAATATAATCACATTATGTATTAATACTTTTCTCTAATCTACCTGTTGTCTAATCAATGTTATTCAGGCAAATGTTTCCTGGTAAGTATTATATATTCGTAAGTCCCATTTCATCTTTCTATATAACAAATGCGTATGCCATTTTGTCAGTTGGGTATTCTAGAGTGCCGTTATTTTAGTTTATAAAATCATGATTTCTTTTTATCATATATATATATATATATATATATATATATATATATATATATATATATATATATATGATTTTTAAAATCACGGAAATGGACAAGTTTTTAATATCCTTATTAAAGAAAGAAAATTGCTGTGTTGATGCATTTTCATTTTATTCTGAGTACTTTCGACATAAGCACAATGTCATCATCAGTGTCTTCGTTTTTTTTTTCTAAGTCAAAAAAAAAAATTGTGTTCAATGTTGTTTCTGAAACATGAACAATACAATTTTTTTACATTGTTTCAAATTATAACTCTGTTTTGTTAACAAAATAGAGGAAGAATATTCTTAAAAATTTGAATCTTTAAAAGAAAAACCTGGTCGTATTTTCTATTTTTATCGTCCGATGATATCTGCGAAGCTCTTTTTGATAACTCCAGTATGGACATCACTCAATAACTTAATTATTTTCTGTTTTTTCAGCACTTGTTAAATGCTTTCCATTAAAAATGTTTCAACATATATTATGGAAAAAAAAAACTTTTAATTAAATCTCAGTAGCCTTACACAAAATTTAAGTTTCAAACTGCAGTTTTTTTTATAATAAATCCAATAACTTTAAGAAAACATGGTGAATCTTCTTAAAATTTAACTGAAACTTATTTGACATCTAAATTCATGGTTTAAAATTTGACAAACGTAAATATTCTAGAGTGTATCTGTAGAAAAGACAAAATTAATAAAAAAAGACAAGGAGGAAATGTATACTATATATATATGTCCCTTAATGAACTGTGTTCTTGACCAATCCAAATTTGTTAATAATTATATTGGATATACTACAGCATGTTTAACAAGAAAACTCACATAACATCGTTCTGACCATAGCTCAATTACATCTCATTTAAATCCACATGGAGACCTACCAAAGTCCATCCGCAACATCGATAATACAAATATAATAACAGCATCCACATGTAAAAAAAGGCTAAAAAATAATGGAAGCATTATTAATAAAAAAAAAGGAAGTTATCACTTCATAATATCAACTATGAACTCTCTCACAATATGCTTTATGTAAGTATCTAGAGTTATAGGAATGTTTTATTTTCTAAACACGGTCTGCACATTGTGGCCGTGTTCATAGTTGATATTACTGAGCTTTGGCTTTTTTCTTTTTTATTAATAATGCTTCCATTATATTTAGTCTTTCGCTTACATGTGGATGAGGCTATTATATTTGCATTATCAATGAGTATGTTAACATTTTGTACTAAAATCAAATGCATAGTAATGATAAGTATTGTGGTAAACATTCATACAGTAGAATGAACTCTTCCTCCTCTCATAAATACAAACTTTTTGAGAGTGGGATAGGAAAAAGGTTTGAATTTTCAGTTTGGAGTAGTAGACTAAACATAAATTATTTATTACTAACACTATTGTTTTGTATATATCGTCAATATATTTTTTTTTCAACTGACCTTCGTCTTCCGTGTCTTTCTGGCCCCTAAACAGGCCACAACAATAAGCAAGACAAATCTTCACTTAGAATCATCATAAAGAAATACATAACTCCAGGCGATAAAAACAAGAAAATTAAATTAATTATTCATTACAAAAAATTTGAAACGGCTAACCCCAATGTCAAAAATAATAATTTGCCGGCAAGTTCTAAAATTACAGAGAACCAATATTATTTACAAATTCACATGTCCCTTAAGGAACTGTGTTCCTAATCAATACAAATTTATAAATAATTATATTGGATATACTACAACATGTCTAACAAGTAAACTCACATTACATCTCACTGACCATAGCTCAATTATGTCTCATTTAAATACACCTGGCGACCTACCAAACTCGTACAAAATACAAATATAATAGCCCCATCGACATGTAAAAAAGGATAAAAATAATGTAAGATTTATTAATAAAAAAAGAAAAAGCCAACACTCAATAATATTAACTACTAGCAGGAGAGCCTGGCGTTGCCCGGGGATGTAACAGTGAGAGATAGATCAAGTATCGACCATCATAAAGACTGAAAAATAAAATTGACAAAGATTATAGTTTAAGGTTGACGGACACGCATGTCTTAATTAGTTTTTTCTTTTATGTTTTTGTTTTTTTTTACGAATTGGTCTTTTTTAAACTCAAACAAAAACATTGTTTTCAATCGTTATGAGTCTATCGATTGAATAGAATTTTATTATAAACAATTGTCTTGTAAATGGAATTTTTAAAGCATTCTGAATAAAAAAAAAATAAAGAAAAAAGTGTGCAAGACAATAAGAAACACTACCTGCCAAAAAAAATTGAAGTTTTGTTGAAATCGGTTGAAAATGTAGGAAATCCGATCCCATATAAACGAAACACACACAAACACACACACACACAAACACGCACACATGACACACACACACACAAACAACCTGGGTTTTTATAATAAGTATAACTCGATATGAGTTGTCCCCTTTCATTCTGGCGACAGAATCGTGTTTTATCGTGTTTTCAAATTGATTTCGTGCAAAAACAATTGCGTTTTTTCAATTTTTGAACCACCGCAAGGTAATTTTACGCAGTCCTGTGAAGTTTTGTTAAAATCGGTTGAAAAATGTCGGAAATCCGATCCAATATATAAACGTACAGACACACACGCACATACACAATCTGCGTTTTATAATAAGTAAGATGAACACGGTCACAATGTGCTGATCGTGTTTGGAAAATAAATCATTCCTATAACTCTAGATACATGCAATATACAATCCATACTTTCAGGTTAACAGAATTACTCCCCTCCCAAACAAACGTACAGAACAGTATCGTGAAATCAAAAGAAAATGGTTGAATCCGTCAACAGAGCAATAATAACAATATCTCGACACGTGACAGTAATTGACGTAATTTTCAGTTAACAGTATGAAAATAGCGTTCTCTAAATTCTTCCAGTAGCTAAGGACATTTTGTTTTTGTTATTATTATTTACTTTGTTTAAATAAATTTATTTCGTGTTTTGCCTTGAGAAAGTCCACATTGGACGAAACGCGTCGGCACCTATTACAGTTTTTCTATTGTCTTTTACATTTATAAATTCAGCTTAAAGTAAAAAAATAAAAACCATCCTTGATAATGGCTAAAAGTATAGCCGAATGCGCACGCACATACAAAACTGTTATACCGGAACGTACCGATTCTATTATTAATAGACTCTCCCACACATAATAAGTAGTAGCAGTAGTAGCAGTCGCCAGTTGGGCTCAGTGGAGTTGAGTGAGTCAGTCGATGTCGGACATTGAAGTATCAACGAGATTGCTGCGTCATTAACTATTATTTCAAGTTCCTAACGTTTTGTACGTCGGACCCTTTTAGGACCGACTTAGCTAAATACAAGCCTCCACTGTGAAACCTACTCTACAACAAAAACATTTGGACAATTACTATATAAATTAAATCTAAAAAAGAAGGCAATCATAACACAAGAAAACTTAAATGAAAACTTAACCGCAGTACCTTGAAAGTTGTTTTTAATGAAACTTGTATAAATTTTTTATAAATATATATAGCAATTTTTAAATTTTATAAAGGGGATCGCAAATTAATTATTTATCTTAACTCAACATCAAATTTTTCACAACTCCATCTAAAAAATAAGATTTATCTATATTGCTATATTTGAAATTCTCCGGCCGTCTTCAGGTGACATTTTCTTGAATTTCGAAACAAATCCAGAATAATCAATCTATGGCGTCTACCCCAGCCGGTCCGTATTCAAGTTCGATATCAGCGGCTGATCGTAAAGTTGATCTCTTCGGCCAAAGTTTTGTCACGCCCCACGTTATGTCGATTGATTGTAAAGACTGGCTTGGTCCGAATGGTCGATGGAATCGATGACTTGGTTTGATCCAGTCAGAGTAAATTCGCAGGAAAGAATAATGATAATAATAAAAATAAAAAAAACTGGGTAAGAGAAAACATACTTATATACACTTCCTTGATACAAATTTGAGGGTACAGATTTGATGGCTTAAGCAGGCATATATTCTCAATGTAAAAAGTATCGACCCTTCAAATTTTTAGTGACACAGTGTTGTTATGGCTTTGAACGAGACTTTTCGAACAAGGTTTTAAATCGAGGGTTTTTCTTCAGGACGGAAAATCACATGTGATGAGACCAAGCGGTGGTTCTTGTCTCTCCGTGCAGTCTGACTGCCGTGTCTACTCTGGGTTGTTTTTATGGACCCCTGCGCAAAGGCTGGGTCGGTTAAGTTGTGCTCTCAGAATGACAGGTTCTCCCAAACAACTAAACAGCGCTCTCCCTGCAAATATTCAAATAATGGGAATCCCTTTCTCCCTCCTTTGAATTCTACCTGGGCATTTTCCTTCTTTAGGTCACGTGATCAAATCTGTCTCTTTCCTTTGTGTGAGTGCCTCTCGCCATCACCGCCCGAGGGGCGTGGAAAGTCCTCAACCGTCTCTGAAATTCCACGTGGGCCTGTTCCTCTTTGGTCACCTGATCAAATCCGTCTCATTCCTGCTTAGCGTGAATGCCTTTCACCATCATTGCCCGATGGGTATGCAAGGTCCTCCACCTTCCTGCAAATTTCACATACGCGTTTGTCTCTTTGGTCACCTGATCAAACCCGTCCTCTTCCTGTTTTGTGTGAATGTCTCTCGTCATCACTGCCCGATGGGCGTGCAAGCTCCTCCACCTTCCCTCAAATTTCACCTCCGCCTTTCCCTCTTTGGTCCCCTGATTAAACCCGTCCGCCAAGAGCTAGGCGTGGTCTAGCCCAAACGAACAAATTTGAATTATCGTTCAAAATTCTCTCTCATCGTGCTTTGTATGCAGTCATTTTTTTATCCCCCTCGTCAACCCTTTCACTAACAAATGACCAAAAACGGGACAATCCCTTGATTTTTTGGAGTTCTATCGCGCTTCGGCAGACGAAAAATTTAATTACCATTCTTTACATATGTTCTTTTAAAACCTGTATTTTTAATACTTATCAAACGTCTTCCACTCAGTGGTCGTAAAAATATTATCTGTTTCTGTCAAGTATATGACATCATTTAATCTCGGCCCTAACAAAAACCAGATGGTCTTTTTGTTTTACATCTCCGTCAGACAAAGAAAAATTAATTACTATTCTTTTTTTCAAAATTTTCATTCTACTGGTCATACGTATATCTTCAGCCTATCGTGTTTTTTGTCTTCTTTTTTTAATTAAAAAAAAAACAAAATGTCCTTTTCTTTCATTTTTCTTCGTCTGGTCATCAGTCTATCTTCAGTCTATCGAGTTTTTGTCTTCTTTTTTTAATTAAAAAATATATCCTTTTCTTTCATTTTTCTTGGTCTGGTCATCCGTCTATCGTGTTTTTGTCTTCTTTTTTAATTAAAAAAAAAACAAAATATCCTTTCTTTCATTTTTCATCGTCTGGTCCTCAGTCTATCTTCAGTCTATCGTGTTTTTGTCTTCTTTTTTTAATTAAAAAATATATCCTTTTCTTTCATTTTTCTTGGTCTGGTCATCCGTCTATCGTGTTTTTGTCTTTTTTTTAATTAAAAAAAAAAACAAAATATCCTTTTCTTTCATTTTTGTTCGTCTGGTCATCAGTCTATCTTCAGTCTATCGAGTTTTTGACTTCTTTTTTTAATTAAAAAATATATCCTTTTCTTTCATTTTTCTTGGTCTGGTCATCAGTCTATCGTGTTTTTGTCTTCTTTTTTAATTATAAAAAAAAACAAAATATCCTTTCTTTCATTTTTCATCGTCTGGTCCTCAGTCTATCTTCAGTCTATCGTGTTTTTTGTCTTCTTGTTTTAATTAAAAAACAAAATATCCTTTTCTTTCATTTTTCTTGGTCTGGTCATCAGTCTATCTTCAGTCTATCGTATTTTTTGTCGTCTTTTTTAATTAAAAAAATATATCCTTTTCTTTCATTTTTCTTCGTCTGGTCATCAGTCTATCGTGTTTTTGTCTTCTTTTAATTAAAAAAAAACAAATATCCTTTTCTTTCATTTTTCTTGGTCTGGTCATCAGTCTATCTTCAGTCTATCGTGTTTTTTGTTTTCTTTTTTTAATTAAAAAGGCAAATATCCTTTTCTTTCATTTTTCTTCGTCTGGTCATCGGTCTATCTTCTGTCTATCGTAAATTATTGTTTGTATGTCTTCTAGTGTCTTCTTCAATTTACTAGCCCTTTTTCCAATAGTGTCCCAAATTTGTGCGTCGGCGTTTCAGAAGATTAATTCATCAGTTTAATGGAATTTCGAACTGGACTATTTATTTCGTCCATCTGGGTAGATTTATTCTAGTTCTACGTGTCATGCCTCTTCCTGATGTCTCCGTATCTGTTTATCTCAACTCCACAAGCTTTTGTTTGCTTCTGCTGAAGCCAAGTATTGGAATCACAACTCTTTCGAGTCAGGTCACTAGATTCAACCACCTTTTTTTTTTATTCACTGAACCATATTTCATTTAGAAAGAAAACCGGAATGTATAACGGCCGAAACGTCGTGAATATCGAAAAAAAAAAAAGACGCTGACAACATTCCGTATAATGTAAATAATTACAATACCTCCTCTCAGAAATACTGGCAGTTATTCTATTAGTCGGAGGCCTTCCAAAACGTGAATCACATTCAGAGAAATGGATGGGTGCCAAACTGCTATCCGGAAGACTTCTTCTAAATGAGGTTACTTAAACATTCTTGTGGTAGGGGGAAAGATGAAACGAAACAATCTATGGTTGTTAACAAATGGGGCAACCCAAGAAGCGAACTGCAAACCGGGAACGTCATAATGAAGCAAATACAGAAATTTAACTATTATAACAGACAACGAAAAATGTTATACCGAGAACCAATAACTCTTGAAGAAATTAGTAACTGAAAGCAGGAAGAAAGGACTAATGTTCAGCTGTAAGTACAGAATACATCGAGAGGAACAGACCAAAATGCGAGCCTTTTTCTTTTTGTTGTTTGGATCATTTCACCCCAGGCAAGGAAATAAAGCTACTAAGACGATATTCAGTCACGCCCCCACCAGAGTGTCATGTGGCACAAGGCCTTTTTAACGTGGGCATTCTGAGCTCGGAAAAAAATAGAATAAAGAGAGAGAACAATAAAAGAACAAGAATTAAGACAAGATAACGATTGATTTTAAGGAGAATTTTGGAAAATCAACCGTGACTGGAAAGCAAGAAACCAGAAGACAGTTCCACAAGCGAGAAGTGCGAGAGAAAAAAAACTGTTAGCATAGAACTTACAGTTACATATTATTATTTCAACTGTAACAGGATGAGACCTTACCGCCAATCTAGTAATATGCTTAAATGCATAAGAGCAACTGTCATGAAGATATTTATAGAAAAAAAAAAACACATTAAAAGTGATGGTAAAACGTTATACCCTGGTAAAATAATGCAAAAATAATAACAAAAAAATTGCAATATGAGCACTGACAAAAAAAAAAAATGAAAATGAGACATTAGGTTTATAGGCCCTAAAAATTCATACACAGACGTTCTCAAGGACACATGGCCCAGTAGATAAAGATGTCGGTTAGCTCGAGTGACGAGACCATACTACAACAATGGGGGACCAAAAACTTGAAGATTTTCAGTTAAAGGGAAATAACTGAGACAGCCGGAAGAGGCATGGCACGTGGAACTAGAAAAAAATCTACCCAGGTGGGCGAAATAAAGGGATCGGCACGAATTTTCAATCATCTGAAGAAGGCGGGAGAATACAACGGCCGAAACGCTGTGAATATGACAATGACGGTGAGGTTTATTATCATAATAGGATGACAGTTCGAATAATGCAGATGCCTTTTCCTGATGTTAAGTATAAGTTTCCGTTTTGTTTCCATTCTCTCCAAAACCTCGACGTTGTTCAGGGTATCCACAGCAGCTTTCTGTAGAACCACATTTCTGTTGCTTCAAGTCTCTTCTTCATCTTTTAAGACGATTGTCCAGCATTCGCTGCCAAACAGGAGGGCAGATATCACGTAACAGTTCAGAACACCTTTTAAAATACCCATACATTGATCGATCAAAACCAAATTTTTGGGGGACAAGTGCAATCAGGTAAGGGGGTGGGGTACAAAGTACAGTTGATTTTCTTAGGATGTATAGCTTAGTAGAATAAATTTTCATTAATACTTTTTAGAAAAATTAAAAACTCTGTTATTTAATATACAAAATAATCAAACAATTTAAAAAAACAATTTATTGATTAAAATGATAAATACTTATTTAATAAAAATACAATATTATTTTTTGCATATTTTTTCTTTAAGTTTTTACATACAAGAATCAAGTTACCTTTTTGTTTTGTTTTTTGAAGCATATTCATCGAGAGAGTGTGGAGCGCTGTAACCAACACAGAATGTAAAATAGTTTTTTTCGTTTTCCTATTTCCTAAAATTGTTTTCAAGTGTTATTTCGTCAAGTAATTTTAAAACGTAAGTGATCATGGCCCTCCACGTCTTCCTGTTCCTTGTAGCTCTTAATAAATTTTGCCTTTTTTATTTCTCCCAAACCTTATTCAGCCACTCATTTATTCAAGCTCATCAAATATGTTAGGGGCTGATTTTCTTCTGTCCCTCTTTCCCTCAAATTGCACCATGGGTATCAAATTTTCCAAGCCCTCCATCCTCATTATGTCACCAGAAATTTCAGTTGATTCTTCCCCATGTTAAGCTTAAGTTTCCTTTTTGTTTCCATTTTCTCCAAAACCTCGATGTTGCTCATATGTTAGGCCCATGTTATCCTCAGCAGCTTTCTGTAGAACCACATTTCTGTTGCTTTAAGTCTCTTCTTCACCCTTTAAGACGATTGTCCAGCATTCGCTGTCGTACAGGAGGACAGATATCACGTAACTGTTCAGTACACCCCTTAAAATAGCCATCTAGTGATCGATCAAAACCAAATTTTGGAGACAAGTGGAAACAGGTAAGGGTGGGGGTTACAAAGTACAGTTGGTTTTACTAGGGTACGTAGCTTAGTACAATAAATTTTCATTAATACTTTTTAGAAAAATTAAAACTTCTGTTATTTAATATACAAAATAATGAAACTATTTAAAAAAAAACAATTTATTGATTAAAATAACAAATACTTATTTAATAAAAATGCAATATTATTTTTTGCATATTTTTTCTTTAAGTTTTTACATACAAGAATCAAGTTACCTTTTTGTTTTCTTTTTTGAAGCATATTCATCGAGAGAGTGTGGAGCGCTGTAACCGACACTGAAGGTAAAATAGTCTTTTTCGTTTTCCTATTTTCTAAAATTGTTTTCAAGTGTCAGTTTGTCAAGTAATTTTAATTTCAAAAATAAATATTCTGCAAAAACACTTTATTCCCAATAATATTAATGTCATTTATTAAACTTTCCAATTTCTCCTTCCTCGTCACGTGACCCAGAAATATCAACTGCCACTTCCTTTTTGTTTCCGTTCTCTTCAAAACCTCGTTGTTGCTCACATGTTCGGCCTATGGTATCCTCAGCTTCTTTCTCTAAAACCACATTTCTGTTGATTCAAGTCTCTTCTTCATCTTTGAGGAGACTGTCGATCTTTCGCTGCCATATAGGAGGATAGATATCACGTAACAGTTCAGTACTCTTTTCAATGATTCCAACGAATTCTTTCTGTCTCTTATTTCGTCAACTCGAGGCAGCAAAGAAGAAATCTCAACAGACAATTACCATGAAAATATTTATAAAAAAAGACATAGGAAAACTAAATTACGGCGATGGAAAAATGACCGATGCTGAATTGCCAGGTAAGGACCACTAACATTACAGATTATTCTATAGATCGTATCAAGAATCTCTAAATCAATAGCTGAATTCTTAGCTTTCATTGGAAGAACCAAATTTTTGTCGTTGTAAGTTTCTTCTTTATCTATAAAGAAATTGTCCAGCATTCACTCATAAATTAGAGCATTGATGTTACATTGCAGTTCAATATACCTTTCTTTTTTTTTTCCTATGTCTTCATACTTAGCTTACATTCGGGAAGGCGTCTTTCGCTTACGGATTTCCATATCGTATTTTCCACAGTCTGTTCTTTCTTCAAAATTCTTTTGTCTCAACGATAACTTACTTTTCGTTTAAACCGATAATCACCCCCACCCAACAACAAAAAAAAGAACATGTTTCGGTTCAGTTCGAAATTCCAATCACCTGAAGAAGGCCGGAGCATACAACGGCTGAAATGTGAATATGGCAATGAAGATGAGGGTTAACAGCCCGAATAATGCAACTGCGTCTTCCCGTTGTTAAGTATAAGTTTCCTTTCTATTTTAATTCTCACCAAAACCTCGTCGTTGCTCATAGCATCGACAGCAGTTTTCTGTAGGACATTTCTGTTGCTTCAGGTCTCTTCTTCATCTTTGAGGAGATTGTCGAGCATTAGCTGCCATATAGAAGGATAGATAGCATGTAAAAGTTCAGTTCTCATTTCTTTGTTTCCAACGAAATTTATCTGTCACTTAAATTCGTCTAATCGAGGTACCATAGAGGAAAGTTCACCCGGACAATTAACATGAAAATAGTTATAGAAAAAGGTAGAGGGAAGCAACATTACGGCGATAGAGAAATGACTGATGCCGGGATGCCAGGTCAGGACCGATAACATTAAAGATTATTCTATGCGTCTTAGTACTGCGCTAAATTCATAATGTCTAGGTACCATAGAGGAAACTTCCTCCGATTTATGGACATGAAAATATTTATAGAAAAGGCAGAGGGAAGCCATGTTATGACGGTTGGAAAAAAAAAGCAGAAGCCGAGATGCCAGGTTAGGATCAATAACAGATGAAGAAGGATCTGGGGCAATAGAGATGGGGTTCTACAAATAAATGGTGATATACCCCGGAAAAGTAGCAAAGTGGTTTTGGACTACTCTAACCGAGTAGGACAATCTAGCAGGTAACCGTAATGGATTGGTCCTCGTCGTAGTGGTAAGCAATAGGCGTAGGCAATAGGCGAAGACAATAGGCGTTGTCAGTAGGCGTCCTCCATGTACCTCCACATCAGTCTGTATTTATGTCTGACACCAGCCAATCATATTACTGTGAGGGGGAACCTAGGTGTATGCATATTGATTACATCAAATGGTTAGATGGCCCTGGTCATAGCATG